CAAACTGCAAATGTTCAGCCAAAGGCAAGTCTGGAGCACCAGCCTAACCATGGCCCTTGGGCCAGATCCACCGCCTGGCTATGCCCAGTAGGGGACTCTGCAATCTGAGCACTCACCCTGCAGGCCTGGAGAGTGGGCACTACATGCAATGAGGAGTCTTCTCGCTCTTAGGCCAGGGAGCCTAGATGTGTGGCTTAAGGACCTAGCACCCTCCCCAGGAGCTCCCTTCTCAGCTCACCTAGACTGTACTCTCCTCACTGTCACCTTCTAAAGAGCTTCATTCAAAGGCCGAGTTGAGGTTGCTTCTGATTAAAAATGTAAAAAGCCAAAGAAGTCTTTGGAGTGACTGGGTTTAGAGTCATGGTAGAACTCCATCTCCCTCTGCAAATAGAACAGACCTAGAAACAAGGAGGCTCCAGGTCAGACTGGCATGCTGTATGTGCCGAGAGAAAGGCAGCTGGAGAAGAAAGCCTTTTGAAGAGCTATGTGGCCTTAGTTGAGCCACTCTCCCCCTCTGAGCCTCTGTCCTGATCTTGTGAAATGGGACTGATAAGCCTCGTAGAGATGATTAAGACGGGAGCCAACATCCTTAGGCTGGCCCAAGTCATCAGTTTGGCTAATATGGACCCCTTCTGACTGGTCTTTTACCATCTCCCTGTTTTGTTTTTCTCCTTAAAAGGAACAGTTCATTGAGCTGTGCAAGACGCTTTACAACATGTTCAGTGAAGACCCCATGGAGCAGGACCTGTACCACGCCATCGCTACAGTGGCCAGCCTCCTGCTCCGCATCGGAGAGGTGGGGAAGAAGTTCTCGGCCCGCACAGTCAGGAAGCCCAGGGACTGTGCCACTGAGGAGGACGAGCCACCAGCACCCGAACCCCATCAGGATACAGCCAGGGAGCGTCAGCCCCCAGCTGCAGGAGACCCCCAAGCCAAAGGAGGTGGAGACATGCACCTCGGAAAAGTCCCACAGGAGAGCCAGGTGGTGGTGGAGGCAGGCAGCGGCGAGGGACAGGGCTCACCCTCCCAGCCACTGTCTGATGATGAAACCAAAGATGACATGTCCATGTCCTCATACTCAGTGGTCAGCACAGGCTCCCTGCCGTGTGAAGACCTCGCGGATGACACAGTGCTGGTGGGCGGGGAGGCCTGCAGTCCCACAGTCCGCATTGGGGGCACTGTTGACACTGACTGGTGCATCTCCTTCGAGCAGATCCTGGCCTCCATCCTGACGGAGTCTGTGCTGGTGAACTTCTTTGAGAAGAGAGTGGACATTGGACTCAAGATAAAGGACCAAAAGAAAGTGGAGAGACAGTTCAGCACTGCCAGTGACCATGAGCAGCCTGGAGTTTCTGGCTGATGCCTGCAGCTGTGACACTTGGCCTGAGGTGTTATCAGTGGACTGGCCTCATCTCCTCCTGCCCTTCCTCCCTTATCAGTTTCTCTTTAAAGGCGTGCCCTTCCTGCTCTCCCAGGAGCAGTGAGTGTGTGACTGGAAAGGAGGCTGGTGCAGACCCAGCTGCCTTAGACAGATTCCCTGGGCCTGCATCTCCTGGCACCGGCTGCTTCTGGGCCCAAGAGGAGGCTGTGGCTCCCACCATCCTTACACCCGGTGGGAGCCTGCCTTGCACCAGCTGCACCTTCCTAGTGTTAGAGGCTCTCAGATCTGCCCTTGCTTGCCTCATACCTCTGTGCCCTGCACTGTGGTCAGGCCAGCTGAGTCCCTCCATCCATGGGATGCTCTCCTACAGCTGTGTGGTACAGGGGTCATTTCTGCCTCTTGGCACCAGATGGGGAGGGCATGTGTATGTTGGGCACCAAAGTGATGGAACCCTCAGGTGCTCTTGAGGAGCCTGAACCTCCTGACAGGAACATGAGCAGAACATTATTGCACAGGGTGGGTGCTGCACACAGGCGTGGCTGTACACGGGCATGGCTATACACACACTCTCAGCTCATCATCCTTTCCAGTAACTTTGAAAGCACATCCCTCAGGTCCTGATATATTTCCTTGAATTCATTTCAGTTGGCTAGAAATTACACTGTGCTCAATGCCTTAATAAATCCCTGAAAGAAAACCCACACCGTGTGCAGTGCCTTGCTGTGGCCCCCAACCACTGCTTAGGCCTCCCAACTTCTCCCCAGGCCAAGTGTGGGGCCCTGGCTGTGTTCTGGAAGTTCAAGACACTTAGTCCTCCACAGGGGGTGGAAGAGTATAAGGCCTGCCAGGTTGGATGGAGAAGCAGAAGGTGCTGATGCAGGCGGGGGCAGGTCCTGACCAACCTGCATTAGGGGATGCCCTGACCTCCACAGGTCTTCATGGGCAGGGGTTATGGGTCCTGGTGAAGGAAGTGCATTCTCAGACCTAGGCTGCAGCAAGTGTCTGCCCTTGGGTTCAAGAAGCAGACTGGAGCCACAGGTGACCAGAGGGGGCCCTCGGGCTGAGCCACAAGGATCCCCTCACTTTGCAGCAGGAGCTGAAACTGACCAGTGTCCAGCGTTTGCCCCTACATGGGGCTGCTCTTGCTTCTACTAAAAGATCCAGCAATTCCCCCCTTCTCCATGGGGGATACAGTCCAGGGCCCCCTGTGGATGTCTAAAACCGCAGATAATAACAAACCCTAAACGTGTTTTTTCCTATACATACATACCTGTGATTAAGTTTATAATTTGGCACCTTAAGAGACTAACAATAATAAAATGTAACAGTTATACTGTAATGAAAGTTGTAAACGTGGTTTGTCTCAGTATCTTGTACTGTACTCATCTCTTTTCCAGGTGGCTTTTGACTTTGGGTAACTAAAGCTGCAGAAAGTGAAACTCAGAGATACTACTGTATATCTCTTTGGAGGCTGTTTTTGTTTTAACTAAGTAGCTTTGCTTCTTTGTTCGTTTTAGAGACAGGGTCTCACTCTGCTATCCAGGCATGACCATAGCTCACTGCAGCTCAAACTCTTGGCCTGAAGTGATTCTCATGCTGCTGCCTTCCTAAGTAGCTTGGGACTACAGGCATGCAGCACCATGCCTGGCTTTAATTTCCTTTCTAGTATTTACATAAACTACCATAAAATAATTTCAAATGATTTATACCAAAAAGACTGTTCTTGGCTATACTATAATTAAGATATAATAACCTCATACATTTAGTAATTTCAAGTCTTAAATTGATTATATTCAAGTAGATTTGAATAACTTGGAATTTGGATAAATGCCTTTTTTTCATCTTTTTGTCTTTACAGAGGTAAGATAAATGTTTTTAATATGTGGAAGTATAAGCTTGTGAATACACCAAATAAATTACACCCAAGAATATAAAAGAGGAATCTGGCCTATTCACATGATACAATGTACAAAAATGTACAATAGTCCTTTCATCCATAAATCATTCAACCTGGGTAAATAATTCAAAATGTTTAACAATCAGAACAGTAACATTAAATAATAGATAATACAAATAAAACATTTAAATTATAAGTAAACATGAATATTTTAAAACTGCCTACTGAGTAATGTAAGTCATATCAAACCACTCATCAAATCATTCTTATAATTTTCAAGAAAAAAAATCCATATACCTGAATTTTTAAAGGATTTTGATGTTCTGACTAAAGCCCTTTTTGGCCTTAGTCCACCTGCACCCAGGTGAATAAGAAAAATAAAAATGATTTTCATGTTCTTTATTGCCAAAAGGAGAAAAATATACAGAAAAGTAGAAAAACAATTTTTTCCTAGTGCTACAGATTACTTCTCAGTATTTTGGTGTTGATTCTGAAATTTTTTTCGGTTTAACCGATGTCATATATGAAATTTTTACTCTTTTCATTAAGCATAAAACATTCTTTGCAGATGCCTTCTGTTCTCAGCCACAATAACTTAAACGTGGAAATGAAGGAAGACCACCCAAATGAGAAACGTTGTGGGAGTCAGCATCATCACCCAGCGTGGGTGGGTGCAAGTGCCTGGGGGTGGAAAACGGGAAAGGCTCCAGGTGGTTCTGACTACACCCTATTGGAAACTCGAGGTGAGCTAACAAGAAGCAGGATGTTTTCTGTGACTGGTTTGGGCAGCATATTCCACTTTCTCGGCTTGGTTCTGATAATGGGAGGGTGGTACAAAAAATAGAGGAGCAGGCAGGTACTCCTGACCACTCCTTACCACGCCGCCGGCTGCCTGGTTACTGCAGGCACTGTCCGTTTATTGTCATGCGTTGTCTGGGCACTGTCTGTTGGCATACTGTCTCTCATTTTTTTTTTTTTTTCTGATAACTACTGTGCAAAAGTTGGAAAAAAAATTAACGTTACCTACAACCTTAGCCACACACACACCCCAGGAAATAATGCTGGTGTCACAGAATTCTAACGATGTACTGTAATTTTGTAACCTTGCTTCTCCACAGCATGTTGTCACTTCAAACTCAAGTTCTTGCTGATGGAACTGCATAAGGGTCCGTGCCGTTCTTCAGAACACTGATTTCCATTTATTCCTGGTATACTTGAGGGGACACTAGGGCATGAATAATAAATCACCTGGGTGAAGGGATTCCTTTCTTGGGGTTGCAGTAATTAATTGCCAGGTTTCTTTCCACGGTTTTGCATTTGACGGTTCTCCCCGCACCCGTCAGGATTGGGTGTTTCTTTAACGGGATGGTTTCTGCTGTTAAAAGTGTTAGCCAGGTCCTGTAGCTCACGCCTGCAATCTCAGCACTTTGGAAGGCCGAGGCGGGTGGATCACCTGAGGTCAGGAGTTAGAGACCAACATGGAGAAACCCCATCTCTGCTAAAAATACAAAAATTAGCTGGGTGTGGTGGCGGCCACCCGTAATCCCAGCTACTCGGGAGGCTGAGGCAGGAGAATCGCTTGAACCCGGAGGGCAGAGACTGCAATGAACCGAGATCATGCCACTACACTCCAGCCTGGGCGACAGAGCAAGCGAGACTCTCTCTCAAAAAAAATAAAAGTGTCGGCTCGCTTTTTTTTTTCCTGATAAATACTGCGCAAAAGTTGGAAAATAAAACATTTTTTAAAATGAAAATTACAACCCTAGCCACAGAGATTTGCAGGTAATTAAAAAATTTTTTGTATTTCTTTTTCCAACAAGGCTACAAGCCTAGCCACGAAGGGTTGCCGGGTGAGTGACGGGCTGTAGGGCGCCCAAGCCCTCCACCGGGTCGGCCTGGGGCACTCCCGGGGCACCGGCTTCGCGCCTCCGCCGCCCTCTCCGGGAAGCGTGGGTCTGGTGAGCCCCTCCGTCTCAAAGGTTAACTTCGTTACTGGCTAAATGCGCTGCCGCGCGTACCAAGCCGGCCCGAGCCGGGCAGGGCGGCCCCTCAGCCCCGCTCCGCATTGTGCGGTAGCCCACAGAACAGGGAAGCGGAGGCCCTGCTGTCTCAACTCCAGTCTCCCAAGGCCGGAAGCCGCTGCCTTAGGAGGACGCGTGCACTGCCCTGGTCAGACGACAGGTCTGCGAGCAAGCAACACGCACCCACAGGGATCCAAAACTCCTGAGATCCAGAAGGGCCCAGACGACCAGCGAGAGGCGCGGAAGGATAGAGGGGACCCAGTGCGCAGAGGCGGGGCTGCGGCCGGCCGAGCGAAGAGCGTACGCGCATGCGAGGCGGCGCAGGGGACTGGAGAAACCCGAGCGCGTACGTGGGGCGGGGCCGCGACTGGCCAAGCGCCGAATGCGCGCGCGCGCGGCGGCCCACTACACAGGCCAGAATGGCGCCGCCTCAGCATTTTCGGGTGCTACGCTGCTGCAGCTGCCGCCTCTTCCAAGCTCACCAGGTCTGGCGCGTGCCAGCCCCTTCCTCCTCCTCCCGCGCGGGCACAGCGGATGGGGAGTGGTGGGGCCGTGGGTGCTGTCTCGAATGGCTCCGGGATGCACCTGGGCCCGAAGGAGTGCAGGGACCGCTGAGGGCGGGTCTCGTTGGGGTCGCGCCTGCATAATGTAGTTCTGGGCTTTTTGTTTGGTTCTTGTAGAAACCAGAGGTAATGTTCCGGCAGAGGTGGCTTCTCGTGACTTGTAGCAGGTAGTGGGAGAACCCGGTTGAGGATAGCATCTTTTACCCAGAGCCTAGCCTGCGAAGTGGCCCTGCTCAGTTTCAGTGTGAGGGGGAGGACAGGTCTTAAAGCCGAGCCGCGCCGGGGCGGCGTCCCTGCTCTACACCTCGGCACCCTCTCGATCGCCCTGCGCCTTTCCCGCCGTACTTTTCCGCGGTGCCAGGGACTTGATGCCTGCTCGCCGACTCATAAACCACGGGCTCCGAAGTCTTAAAAGATGATAATCTGTTTCTAGAATATATTTGCCTCCCTAACTTTCAACATGCCAGATAGAGGATGCCACTGAACCTTTTCTGTATTGTACCGTGTCGTCCTGCTTGATACCACTTAACACTGCAGTCAGCGTATCCGCTTTTGATAGTCCCTCCTTCCTAGTTATGGCTGATCTGCTGTGCCCTGGGAAAGAATAGCATCAGACCTCTTTAAGATGTATGTCAAAAAGTCAGCAAGATGCTGAGTATGTGTTTATAAGCTTGCATTTAATGCTGAGCGTTTGTAAGGGTTATTTTAAGGGCTCAGAAACTTTTTACTTATTTTCATTTGGGGGCTGCGTCCTAAGAGTTGCGAATAAAGAGATCATTTGCGTTTTAAAATTATTACATGTCTAATGTCTCATGCTCATTTTCCTTTTCTAAAAACAAATTTTCCATTTATTTTTATTTCCTTGTTTCCCTGTTTCACAAGTCCAAGCTCACCAGTGTTCTTTCTTTTTTTATTTATTTTGAGACAGGATCTCGCTTTGTCGCCCAGGTTGGAATGCAGTGGTGCAATCGCAGCTCGCTGCAACCTGCACCTCCAGGGCTCTAGCCTCAACCTGCACCTCAACCTGCACCACCTCAGCCTCCCATGTGGCTGGTACTACACGTGCAGGCCACTTCCCCAGCTAATTTTTGTATTTTTTTTTTAGAGATGGAGTTTTGCCGTGTTACCTGGGCTGGTCAGGAACTCCAGGCTCAAGTGCTCTATCCGCCTTGGCTCCCAAAGTGCTGGGACTACAGGCGTGAGCCAGTGCTCCTGACCCTCATGGTCATTTTCAACCCTATGAAATATGAGTTGGTTGGCCCCAGTGGCTCAGGCCTGTAATCCCAGGACTTTGTGAAGCCCAATAGGGCAGATCACTTAAGCCCAGAAGTTCCAGACCAGCCTGGGCAACGTAGTGAGACCTTGCCTCTACTAAAATTCAAAATAAAATAGCTAGGTGTGGTGGTGCGTGCATCTGTAGTCCTAGGTACACAGGGGTGCTGAGGTGGGAGGGACACTGAGGCAGGAGAATGACTTCAGTCCAAGAGGCAGAGGTTACAGTGAGCTGTATTCGTACCATTGCACTACAGCCTCGGCGACAGAGCCAGACCTGTCTCAAAAACAAAGAAAAAAATGACTTGAAACCAAAGAGGACATTGGCCATTTTAATTGCAAGTAAAATACCAATTTAACACATTTAACTTCAACAACCTTTGAATTAGGCATCATTCCGATCTTACAGACATGAGAATTCTGAAATCCAAAGAAGTCATGTCGTTTCTCCATCTAATAAGTGGCAAAACCATGCTATCTCTCAGGAGTTACCAGAATTAATTCCTTTACCAGTTACTGTGGGTCCTAAACTTTTTAAAATGCTTTTCATACTTGCTTACATACCCAATGGAAAATTCAGTTTTATTGGTGTTTTAAGGTAGAAGCTGGGAAATAAATGCTAAGCCATACGATATACCCACTTCAATTTTTGGTAGATGCTCATTGTTCTCCTTAGAATCCTTTTGGCTACTTCCCCCCAAAACCTCATGATTTTGTTTTAGGATCATATTAATCATATTAATTTTAATGAATCAATCTAGACATCTTGGTGATGTTAAACATGATTGATTATGTTTCTTCAAGTAACCTTGGCATCCCTTGGTAACATTTTATTTGTTGCTGTTATCAGTGGACTCTTTATCCATTATCTCTTCTAACTAGATGTCTGCTCATACAAAAGCTATATTAAATTTTGAAGATATCTTAATTTTGTACCTAACCACTATGTTAGATTGTCTGGTTTTTGTGGCTTTTCATTTCATTCTGTTGGCTTTTCAGATAAAAAACTATATCAGGTTGCAGCCGGGCAAGGTGGCTCATACATTTAATTGCAGCACTTTGGCAGACCAAGGTGGGTGGGTTATTTGAGGTCAGGAGTTCCAGAACAGCCTGACCAACATGGTGAAACCCTGTCTCTACTAAAACTACACAGTTATCTGGGCATAGTGGCACACACCTGTAATCCCAGCTACTTGGGATGCTGAAGCAGGAGAATTGCTTGAACCTGGGAGGTGGAGATGGCAGTGAGCTGAGATTGCACCATGGCACTCTAGCACAGGCAACAAGAGTGAAACTCCATCCCCAAAAAAAATTATATCAGATATTATATCTATAAATAATGATAGGGTTTTCCCTTCCTTTCCAATTTTTATACCACTTACAACTTTACTAATTCCATTAGATAGTACATCCAGAAAAAAATAGTAAATAATAGTGGGCAACTCTGGCTTGTTCATGTTCTTGACTTCCATGGGAATGCTGGTAGAGATTCTTCAGCATTAGAGCTGGGTTTACGGCATTTTATCATGTTAAGAGAGAACACATCTAGTCAGGTTTAACAAGAATTGAAAATAAATTGTGAAATTTATTTTTTAGACCCACAGGTGGTAGAGTTTCATCTTGGGTTTCTGGGTTTTTTTTGTTTTGGTTTAGTTTGGTTTGGCTTTGAGAAACAGGCTCTTGCTGTGCTACCCGGGCTGGCCTCAAACTCCTGGACTCAAGCAGTTTTGGTCTCCCTAGTCACTGAGACTACAGGCTTAAGCCACTGCACCCAGCCCAACTTGATGATGTTTCCCAGCACCAACCCAGACTTGTTAAATAGTCTGTTGTTTTCTTACTCTTTTTCAAAATTATTTTATTATTATTATTTTTTGGTGCTGTGACTCGAATTCGAACTCTTTTCTCACTCTTAAAGTGCCTCCAAGCCGGGCGCGGTGGCTCAAGCCTGTAATCCTAGCACTTTGGGAGGCCGAGGCGGGTGGATCACGAGGTCAAGAGATCGAGACCATCCTGGTCAACACGGTGAAACCCCGTCTCTACTAAAACTACAAAAAATTAGCTGGGCATGGTGGCACGTGCCTGTAATCCCAGCTACTCAGGAGGCTGAGGCAGGAGAATTGCCTGAACCCAGGAGGCGGAGGTTGCGGTGAGCCGAGATCGCGCCATTGCACTCCAGCCTGGGTAACATGAGTGAAACTCCGTCTCAAAAAAAAAAAATAAATAAAAATAAAGTGCCTCCTTTATGATTATGATATGCTAAATTTTTACACATATGTCGGTTTGTTTCTGGACTCTTTTTCTATCAATTTTTTTTTTTTTTGAGATGGAGTTTCGCTCTTGTTACCCAGGCTGGAGTGCAATGGCGCGATCTCGGCTCACCGCAACCTCCGTCTCCTGGGTTCAGGCAATTCTCCTGCCTCAGCCTCCTGAGTCGCTGGGATTACAGGCACGCGCCACCATGCCCAGCTAATTTTTTGTATTTTTAGTAGAGACGGGGTTTCACCATGTTGACCAGGATGGTTTCGATCTCTTGACCTTGTGATCCACCCGCCTCGGCCTCCCAAAGTGCTGGGATTACAGGCTTGAGCCACCACGCCCGGCCTTATCAATTTTTTAAATTTTTTCAGGTCAGGCATGGTAGCTCATGCCTGTAATCCCAGCACTGTGGGAGGCCAAGATAGGTGGATCACTTGAGGTCAGGAGTTTGAGACCAGCCTGGCCAACATAGTAAAACCCCGTCTCTACTAAAAATATAAAAATTAGTTGGGCATGGTAACACACGCCCATAATCCCAGGTACTCGGGAGGCTGAGGCAGGAGAATAGCTTGTACCCAGGAGGCAGATGTTGCAGTGAGCCAGGATTGTGCCACTGCACTCCAGCCTGGGCCACAGAGTGAGACTGTCTCAAAAATAAATAAATAAATAAATAAATATTTCAGATCCAATTCCATTTAGTTTTAAATAATTATCTGAGTTGTATTTCTGAAATTTCATTGCAGGTAAAAAAAAATGTCAAGTGGACATGCAAAGCATGTGGAGAGAAGCAGTCCTTTTTGCGGGTGAGTCCTATGAAAGAGAAAGCAGGCGGGGCATATGCCTGCAGGGAGCCCTTCCAGGGAGTCCCAGCATGCCACAGCTGGGATCATCCTCTCTCACGCGAAGTTCACCAGACACAGAGCTCCTGCCCCTGAGCTTCCTGTTCCTTCAGGAAGTGAAATTGATGGAGCAGTGTCTGGAATGAATTTAATTATTCATTCAGCAAGTATTTGTTGAGTACAATCTGTGTGTCAAGCACAAGGGAAACAGTGGAAAGTAAGCCCATTGTCATTCTTGCCCTCACAGATGCACTTGTGTGGAAGGGGAAGAGAAATTAATACACACACGCATCTATATAATTTAAAACTTGACGGGGCCGGGCGCGGTGGCTCAAGCCTGTAATCCCAGCACTTTGGGAGGCCAAGGCACGAGGATCACGAGGTCAAGAGATCGAGACCATCCTGGTCAACATGGTGAAACCCCGTCTCTACTAAAAATACAAAAAATTAGCTGGGCATGGTGGCGCGTGCCTGTAATCCCAGCGACTCAGGAGGCTGGGGCAGGAGAATTGCCTGAACCCGGGAGGCGGAGGTTGCGGTGAGCCGAGATCGCGCTATTGCACTCCAGCCTGGGTAACAAGAGCGAAACTCCGTCTCAAAACAAACAAACAAACAAACAAAGAACTTGACGGAGCACAAGGAAAGCACTGGGGACTGTTAGAAGATGAGGAGGAATCAGACCAGCTAGGTGGAGGTGGGGGTGTGGGAAAGTGGGCTCAGGAAGTGGAGGCAGGCAGGGGCAGGCTGTAAATGCTCTTATCCAGCCTGCTGTTTGCACCTGACATTGAGCACATCTTTTCAGTCCATGCATATTGCCCCTCCTGAACTCTAAGGACCCCAGCTGCCCTGCATCCTTTGCCTTATTGAATTTTCTCTTTACCTGCTTCAGCCCCAGTGCTGCCTCTCCCTTCACCTCCCATCTTTCCTTCTACAGCCATGGTGCTTGCTTTCTGACCTTAAACCCAAATTTGCTCCCTCTTCAGGCCTTTGTGCTCACTATGGAGTTCCCCTCCCTCTTCTCATTATTCTATGAAAGTTATATATTCATGTATTTATGTGCAGATTGTCCATCTAAGACTGTAAGTTCAATGAGAACAGAAGCTTTTCCTTTTTTATTTACTGGTGTATCCTCAGCATCTAGCACAGTCCTTGGTGCTTGTTGAATGAGTAAGTAACCAGTCCAACCTTGTTGGGCATTTAGGTTGATTTTCCTTTCACTGTTATGCACAACTCTACAGTGAAACTTTCTATAAATACTTCTTTATTCACTTGATCAGCTGTTTACTGTTTACTTAGGACGAAGTACTAGAAGTTAAATTGCTGTTTTTGGGGAGTTTTTGTGAGACAGAGTCTCACTTTGTCACCAGGGTGGAGTGTAATGGTGTGATCTTGGCTCACAGCAACCTCCGCCTTCCAGGTTCAAGTGATTCTCCTGCCTCAGCCTCCTGATTAGCTGGGATTACATATGCACACTACCTCACCCAGCAAATTTGTTTTTTTTTTATTTTTAGTAGACAGAGGGTTTCACCATGTTGGCCAAGGCTGATCTTGAACTCCTGACCTCAAATGATCTGCCCGCCTCGGCCTCCCAAAGTGCTGGGATTATAGGTGTGAGCCACTGCGCCTGGCCTAAATTGCTGTTTTAAAGGATATCTTTTGATCAAGGTTCTTTTAGTTGCAGTAATAGACAAAAACACTTTATAATGTTGATGAGTGCCTTCACCTGATTTTTTTTTTTTAAAAAAGGGTAAAAAACACTTCAGAATGGGCTCAGCAAAGTAAAAAAATAAAAATAAAAATGTACTGGCAAGGTAATGAGATATCCTAGGGAATCCAAGGGGCAGAACTTCATTCCTGATCCCTTGAAGAACTAACCCCAAGAACTGAAAAGCTGCCAACAAGCCAGGTATCAGCTTTTCCTCCCTTCTCCTCCCCGTCACCCAGCTTCTCTCTATATCTTTGCTTGATTTTCTCTTCTCCTTCCCTTCTGTTTCTCCCCAGGCAATTCATAGTCACATTCTCTGCTCCAAGTGCATAGAATCTCATTCCAAGCCAAGTGGAAGAGCTGAGTCCCAATTATAAATTCCTAGGAGAAGTAATCTGGTTGGCCCAGGCTGGTTCGGATATCTACCTCTGGTCTAGTCAACTGGGATTGGGTCTCAGAAGACAGGGGCTGGCTTACTAGGTAGACACCCCGCATGGTGAGCATGGCTTGTTTGAGATGTATGTATTTCTACATTCTCCTTGAGGAAGCCTTCCTACTCCCCTTAGTGCCTCTGTGCTATGTGTGGTATATGGTATATGGCTGACTAGGCCACAGTAACAAACCCACACCAAAATTGTGGTGGCTTAATAAATAGACATTGTTTCTCTTGCTCTCATAACAGTCCTGGGAGTGCAGTAGTGGTGCAATCTCAGCTCACTGCAACCTCTGCCTCCCAGGTTCAAGTGATTCGCCTTGTCTCGTCCTCCCAAGTAGCTGGGACTACAGGCATACATCACCATGCCTGGCTAATTTTTTTGTATTTTTAGTAAAGATGGGGTTTCGAGATACGTTCGTCAGTTTGCTCCTTTTTGCCTGTGGATGCTGCCGAGGAAGCATCGTTAAAGTCTCTCTTCTCCCTCCAATCATGTCTAAGTCAGAGTCTCCTAAAGAGCCGGAACAGCTGAGGAAGCTCTTCATTGGAGGGCTGAGCTTTGAAACAACCGATGAGAGCTTGAGGAGCCATTTTGAGCAATGGGGAACACTCACAGACTGTGTGGTAATGAGAGATCCAAACACAAAGTGCTCCAGGGACTTCGGGTTCCTCACGTATGCAACTGTGGAGGAGGTGGATGCAGCCATGAATGCAAGGCCACACAAAATGGATGGAAGAGTTGTGGAACCAAAGAGGGCTGTCTCAAGAGATGATTCTCAAAGACCGGGTGCCCACTTAACTGTGAAAAAAATATTTGTTGGTGGCATTAAAGAAGACACTGAAGAACATCACCTAAGAGATTATTTTGAACAGTATGGAGAAATTGAAGTGATTGAAATCATGACTGACAGAGGCAGTGGCAAGAAAAGGGGCTTGGCCTTTATAATATTTGACGACCATGACTCCGTGGATAAGACTGTCATTCAGAAATACCATACTGTGAATGGCCACAACTGTGAGGTTAGGAAAGCCCTCTCAAAGCAAGAGCTAGTGCATCATCCAGCCAGAGGTTGAAGGGGTTCTGGAAACTTTGGTGGTGGTTGTGGAGCTGGTTTCAGTGCAACTTTGGTCATGGAGGAAACTTCAGTGATCTTGGTGGCTTTGGTGGCAGCCATGGTGGTGGTGGATATGGTGGCAGTGAGGATGGCTATAATGAATTTGGTAATGATGGAAACAATTTTGGAGGTGGCAGAAGCTACAATGATTTTGGCAATTACAACAATCAGTCTTCAGATTTTGGACCCATGAAGGGAGGAAACTTTGGAGGCAGGAGCTCTGGCCCCTGTGGTGGTGGCAGCTAATAATTTGCCAAACCACGAAACCAAGGTGGCTATGGCGGTTCCAGTAGCAGCAGTAGCTATGGCAGTGGCAGAAGATTTTAATTAGGAAACAAAGCTTAGCAGGAGAGGAAAGCCAGAGAAGTGACAGGGAAGCTACAGGTTACAACAGATTTGTGAACTCAGCCAAGCACAGTGGTGGCAGGGCCTAGCCGCTACAAAGAAGACATGATTTAGACGAATACTCATGTGTATGGGCAAAAAACTCGAGGACTGTATTTGTGACTAATTGTATAACAGGTTATTTTAGTTTCTGTTCTGTGGAAAGTGTAAAGCATTCCAACAAAAGGTTTTAATGTAGATTTTTTTTCTTTTTTTCTTTTTTTTTTTTTTTTGCACCCGTGCTGTTGATTGCTAAATGTAATAGTTTGATTGTGATGCTGAATAAATGTCTTAAAAAAAAAATGGGGTTTCACCATATTGGCCAGGCTGGTCTCAAACTTCTGACCTTGTGATACACCTGCCTTCGGCATCCCAAAGTGCTAGGATTACAGGCGTGAGCTACTGCGCCCGGCCCCTGAGCTTCTTTTATTCCCTGAGGCTCATTTGTAGCTGCTTCTAGCCACTGAGAAGGGCAAGTGAGTGCGTGGAGGAGCTACCAGGAGGCTTTGAGGGTCAGGCTGGGAAACAAGTGACACTACCATGAAAAGAGCCTGGTTTTGTGGCCACCCTGACCACACACACACTGGAAAATGAAGTCTAGTTTTGTGCCCACATCGGGAAGAATGCTCTTCACTATCCAGCCAGCAGTCTCTGCCCTATGGAAGAGCACACTGCTACTGGTTATGCCAGCCTGGTCTTTTGCAACTTTGCCATCTCCTCCTCCAGTTACTCTTTTCTCTTCTCACTTGAATGTGCTCCAAACAGGACTACACTCCCTACCTATCCATTAAAATTGCTTGTGTCTGAGTCAGCGGTGGTCTCTATGTTGCTAAAAACAATGATTAGTTCTCAGTTCTCACTTGACTTACTAGCTGCAGGCACTGGGTGTCTACAGGAATTCTGTGTCCACGGGACATCAAGAATGCTCCTGCCAGTGGGGTGTTGAGGAGCAGTGGACATGTATAGTGTATGTGTCTGATCACAGATGTGCTCTATTGTCCCATCGGACTTCACTTACAAAACACAGGTTCAAAGATCAGATTATTAAGAATTTCAAGACAGCAATAGCAGAGCAGATCTCATACCCGGGAAGCTGATTCTGCCTATGGTAGGACCCATACTCTCAAATATTGTCTCTTACCATCTTCCCCTTAGACCACTCAGCTCCAGCCATGCTGGCCTCTTCACTGTTTCTGCAAAATGCCAGGCTTAGGGTCTTCATGCTCATTTTCAGATCATTGCTTCTGCTGGAATTCTTCCCCCAGACATCCATGTGGCTTGCTTCTTCATATCTTCCTGTTTGGACTCAAACATTACCTTTTTAGAGATCCATTCTTTGACCATTTTGAACACCTTATGTAAAACTGTAGACTCTTATGTAAGGCCTCTTTCCTGGTCTCATCTTCCTTAGGAGCACTTATTAGCATCTGATAGGTTACATGCCTCACTTGTTTATTTCCTATCTCTTCTTACTTGAATGTGAGTTCCATGATGACAGGAAGTCTTGTCCACTCCTGTATTATCTACCTCTAGATGAGGCCTGGCACATAGATGGTAGTCAATAAATATTTATTGGATGAATTTGTGACTGCTAAGTGGAAAAAAATGTATTTTATTTTGTATTCCTTTGATTATCAGTGAGAATAAGTATCATTTATTTTTTAGCAGTATGTTATATAATATGGCAATATGTGTTACTTCTCTTGTGACGTTTTTATTCATGTTCACTAACCATTTCGTGTAGGGCTTTGGGTTGAGTTTGGCTTCATTAGGTAGAGTTCAGGGTGCTTGTGGGACAGCCAGATAGACCTAAACTGTTAGTTCTGGAGACTGCTGGTTTGTAAATCATTCTAGAGATAGCAGTCAGTCAGTCAGGATTCCTGCATGATGCCTTAGGGGTCTTTGGGCCTTACAGAATATAGCTTTGTCCTCCCTGAGGTGCATCTCAAATGGATCTGTTTTCTCAGCATTCTGCCAACACTTTTTAAATTTTATATATTTTTTTGTTCTCTCAGGCTTATGGTGAAGGTTCTGGTGCTGACTGTAGACGGCATGTCCAAAAATTAAATCTGCTACAGGGACAAGTTTCAGAGTTGCCACTCAGGTACAGTTGTTTGAGAAGAGTGTGATTGTCTTGGCCTGTTTTAATCTTGACTGGATAATAGAAGTACACAGTGGAGAAGTCCCTTAGACTTCCATGTCTTGCAATATGGCAGTCAAACACCCTGAGCAATTTTTGCATTGAAAATACTAAAAATGCTAGCTATTTTAAATGCACTGATACGCTGACAAGAAAGTAAGTAACTCTCAGAGGTCAAAAATGAAAACGAAGCTGGTCTGATGGTAGTGGGCTATCAGAATTTATTAATATTAGTGTCACTAAAGTTGGTATAACTCTCCACTGCTAAATTTAACTGGCATTTAAAAAAAAAAAAAAAAAAAGCCTAAAGCCAGAGAGGAAGCACCTGAGCTCCTCGGGTGATTGAAGCCTAGTGCTCTGGAGCTTCCATTTAGATGGCTGAGAGGGGTGCAGGAGACAGAAGACAACACCTACAGCCTGGTCAGCATGGGAAGGCCAGTAGGACACCTCCATACAAAACTGAGCCTCCAGAAGACTATACCCTCAGTGTACAAATGAACTAGACCCACTCTGCAACAGGTAGCTTGCCTGTATTGACTTTGGCAATGGCTGAAGAGGGGGAGATATCTCTTAAGATTTTGGAAATACCAGGAAGCTGTTGCATGGTTTTTCATCCTTTTACATACTCTGTGTGAAAAGCCTCAAGCTGAATATATCTTTCATTTGTCCCAGGAAGCAGAGGTAAATGCAGCTTCTCTCTGCAGCAATATATCTTCAACCCAGGCCTTAAAGAATTCCCACAGAAAAAGTTCCAAGTAGCATATACTTAAGAGTTTAAAATCATTTAACATTCAAGGAAATATGTCACCATGAGCAAAAGATAGCAGAACAACAGTCAGAAAAGTCAGACCCATAAAGACTTCAGAATACATAATATTGCATGTTTAATATATTTGATTTAAAAAGGGGGTGATCCCAGCACTTTGGGAGGCCAAGGTGGGCGGATCACGAAGTCAGGAGTTCAAGACCAGACTGGCCAACATGGTGAAACCCCGTCTCTACTAAAAAATACAAAAATTAGCTGGGCATTGTGGCTCATGCCTGTAATCCCAGCTACTTGGGAGGCTGAGGTAGGAGAATTGCTTGAACTGGGACCCGGGAGGTAGAGGTTGCAGTGAGCTGACATTGCACCACTGCACTCCAGCCTGGGTTACAGAGTGGGACTCCATCTAAAAAAAAAAAAAAAAAAAGGTAGAGAGTGATAAGATGAGGGACTTCAAAAAATAGGTATATTTGAGAGCTTGTTATGGAGGTTTCTAGGAGGGGAGTGCAGCTACTCATATACCCATGACCGAAGACCAGTCCTCCACTATCAGGGATGGTTGTTTTCTTTGACCAAGCACACAGCGTCAGGAGGGATGCACATGGAGCTGTGAGGGAGTAATGAGACACTGCCTAGCCAGCCAGATCAGTGAATCAACCTTGATGATTGATGAGGTGACAGATGTCACAGCCAGATCACCCTCACATTAAAAAAAAAAATAGGTGTATTTGAAAAAGAACCAAAAAGAGGCCGGGTGCAGTGTTTCACACCTGTAATCCCAGCACTTTGGGAGGCGAAGCCAGGTGGATCACTTGAGGTCAGGAGTTCAAGACCAGCCTGGCCAACATGGTGAAACCCCATCTCTACTAAAAATACAAAAGTTAGTTGGGTGTGGTGTCACATACCTGTAATCCCAGCTGCTCAGGAGGCTGAGGCATAAGAATCACTTGAGTGTGGGAGGTGGAAGTTGTAGAGAGCCAACCTCCACCTCCCAGGCTCAAGTGAGGCCTGGGTTGAAAATGTATTGCTCCAGAGAGAAGCTGCAACAGAGTGAGACTCTGTCTTAAAAGAGTTTGCTGAACTTAAAAGTATAATCATTGAAATTAAAAGTTCAGGCTGGGCACAGTAGCTCATGCTTATAATCCTAGCACTTTGGGAGACTGAGGCAGGAGGATCACTTGAGGTCAGGAGTTTAATACCAGCCTGGCCAACATGGTGAAACCCGATCTCTACTAAAAATACAAAAACTAGCTGGAAATCACTTGAACCCAGAAGGCGGAGGTTATAGTGAGCCAAGATCACACCACTGCACACCAGCCTGGGTGACAGAGTGAGACTCTGTCTCAAAAAAAAGAAATTAAAAACTCAGTGACAGGTTAAACAGATTAAATGCAGCTTAAAAGAGAATTCGTGAAATGGAAGATAAATCTAAAGAAATTATTCACAATGCAGCCAGGTGTGTTGTCTCATACCTGTAATCCCAGTACTTTGGGAGGCCAAGGCAGGTGGATCACAAGGTCAGGAGATCGAGATCATCCTGGCCAACATGGTGAAACCCTATCTCTACTAAAAATAAAAAAAAAATTAGCTGGGCATGGTGGCACGCACCTGTAGTCCCAGCTACTCAGGAGGCTGAGGCAGGTGAATAGCTTGAACCCAAGAGGCAAAGCTTGCAGTGAGCCCAAGATCACACCACTGCACTCCAGCCTGGGCGACAGAGCAAGATTCCGTCTCAAAAAAAAAAAGAAAGAAAGAAATTATTCACAATGCCACACAGAAAAATGGAAAAGTAGAAAATATGAGGAAAAGTTGAGAGACACGGAGGTTACAGAGAAGAGTTCTAGCAAGAGAAAATTAAGAGAATGAGGCAAAAGCAATAATTGAAGAGATAAGAGCACAGCATTTTCCAGAATCAAGGGCTTAACATTTTTAGATTCAGGAAACAACAGTAAATCCCATACTGGATAAAACCATGATTGTGTATGTAGAAAATCCTAATGAATCTATAAAAAAAGCTACTAGAACTAATATTTTAGCAAGATCACAAG